CAGCCCCCGCGGGCGCCCAGGTTGGAAGTGCTTGGCGCCCGTCCGCCACCTCACCGCCCGCTAACTGGGTCCCGGGCGCTCCGCCGAAGGGGCGTTGGGGCGTTGGGTGTGTCTAGTTGCGGCGAGTTTGGAGATGTTCAAAACCGTGCCGGGCGGGTGCGAACTCGGTTCACCTGGGACCCCAGAACGCGCCACGAGTGCCCGGTGGATGCGAACCCCCAAACGAGTGCCTGGGCGCTCCGCGCCCCGAGTGCATTGTCGGCCTCAGCCGCGCCCGCCCCAAAGGCCAGGGCCACGCTCCCAGCCCTACTCCGCACTACCGCGAAGTCTTTAAGCGACAACAACGTGTGCAGACGTTTTCAATGCTATCAAGTGTGGAGTCTAGGAAAACTGCTGCTTGACTTGATGCATGAGATTTGCATAAATCAGAGCTCAGTTCAAAACTGGACCTCACGTGGAAGAAAACAGAGCCACCTTTGTAAACCAGGCTCGTCGTCCCCCCATGCAACTTCGGCCCATTTCTGTTCTCTCTTTCTAAGATGCTGCTTCTTGGAAGGACTGGGTGGTTGATGTGGGCACGAGGGAGAACAGGACTTCTCGGAAGCCTAGGAGACTTCGGGACTTCGGTGCAGGCAGAGACCTCGCACACACCTGTTCCAACAGCATCTGTCAGGGTAATCAGGGGGCTTGTGCCAACAGTCTGGTGAGTATAAAAAGTTTGAAAACCGTGGGTGTGGGATAAAATTCCTCGTTTACAAATTAAAGATAAATCATCAGGGTCTCATTTCAAAAATATCGAATAGAATTTATTTCAGTGTGGCCCAGAAAGGTGTGTTTTTTAGTTTTTATGAAACTGCTTAGGTGAGTAGTGTGTGCCTCCAAGAATGGAGAACCCCTCAGGACCGCTGTCACCTTCTTTGTTGGGGATACAGGTTCTGTTGTAGAACTGAACTCTTTAGAACCCCCACCCAGCTGCTGTTGGCAGGCAGCAGAGAGAGGAGGTGGTAGAAGGAGACAACAGCATCATGTAATCTGGACCCTCGTCCTCGTCCGGACTCTCAGTAGTTGCATCCATTTGTTGGAGTAACTGGGCGCAGACCAGGGGCGGGATTCTACCGGCTGACATTCAGACAAGCAGGAGGGGTGGGCCCTTGTACAGTGCTGTGGTCTGAACACGCCTCATGTCCTGAGCAAGGGACTGCTGGGAAGAGGTCAGAGGGTTGTGGCCACTTTGTGAACTTTTCCATGTGAGCAGTGCACGTGGGCTTCATTGCTTTTTCCCAGGAGCTGTTGTGGAAGGCACCTGCCTCACCTGGAGATTGGAGAGTCTCAGCAGCCTTCTCCCCCACACTCCCCTCCCAACACAGCAGCAAAAGGCCTCTGTCTCACCCTGCTCCCCTGGTGGTGGAAGGACCTGGTAAGACTTGGGCTGGAGAGCTAGCTCACCTCCAGACAGCAGCAGACCTTGTCACACCTGTCAGCTCTGAAGGCTGCCACTCCACCTTGCACTGTTGGTTGGGAACTGGAGCTTCTGCCTCTCACTCTGCCCTCCTAGTTCTACCTCTCCTTTACCCTGTTGGTTAAAATAAATCATTTTAAAAAATTTATTCATACAGAACTGGGGTACAGGCCAGAGATGCGGAGGGTGAGAGGCTTCACCAGAGACAGAGTGGGGCATAGAACAGAGAGATCGACAAAGTTCACTGCTGAGGGGAGCAGCGGACGGGTCAGGAGAGGTCTGCCACGCCATGTGGGCCACCTCCGGAGCGGGCGGGGATCAGACTCGTGCAGAAGTGGCTTAAGCTTCTTAGTGCTGCGCCACCAGGGAGGGCCCAAAATAAATCATTTTTTTTAGCTCTTGCTGCACCAAAAGACCTTTTGTGGTGACAGATGGCTGCACCCAGCACCACTGAGAAGCTTTCTGATCTGGTAACAGTTTGTAGACCATTTACCTAGTAGTGGTCTATAAAATAATGTTGACAGGCACATTGTAAAAACTGTGAAGTGTCTATTTTTAAAAATCTAGTGTAATTCATAACTTTTTAAGTAGTTGAGTGAATTTTTTTCCAAAAAGGTAGATAGCAGATTTCTGCTAGATGGCTTGAAGGTTGGCCTTTTATTGTTTGTAGACTAAGAGACCTGAGAGTAAGAAATGTGGGGTTTGAGGACATTAAATTTAGGCAAAGTTATTTTAAGGAATGAGAAAGGGATGAGGAGCATGGTCAGTGATTACTCTCATCTGATTTTAGAAATCATACATTTGTTCTAGAAGTGGCAAGTATATGATTTTCTTAAGAGGTACAAAGGCCAGGGACTGAAGGCAACCGTGAATTTATTAGTCATGGGTGGTAGATTGACAGGGTTTTTGTTCCAGAAAAACAAAGAGGTGAGGTATACTTGAAATTGCTGCAGTTTTGGAGTTCACACTAGGTAGGAAGGGAAGCAAGTTCAGGAGACAGCCAAAGGGAGAATGGAAACAGGAAATAGCAGTGAGGACAGAAGTTCTAAAGCCTAGCAGCTGAAGTGTGGTCCAGAGACAGCCTTGGCCTCACCTGGGACTTCTGGACTCACTCTAAAACTACTGGAGCAGAATGTGCATTTTAGAATGATTTCCTCTTATATACATTTGAATTGATAGGCACTAGTCTAGAGATGACAAAAATTTAATGTTAGAATGGAAAAGATTTAAAAGAATAAATGGCTGGCCCAGTACAGTAAAACATTTAAGATAAATCCAGTACCCATCCTTTATTAGCTCATAGTAGTCTAAGAATAAATGGGCATTTTCTCATCTCAGTAAAGATTAGCAACAAGAAACGTATAGCCAAAAATAGCTGGTGAGAACTCAAAGCACAAAGATGAGAAATGAGACAAGGGTTTTCCTCTTACCACTCCTTTTTCAATGTCATGCTGGAAATCTCTGCTAATGGAATAAAACAAGAAAAGGAAGGAAAAGGTATACAATAGGGAAGGAAGACACAAAACTGTCTTTGTTCACAGATGACATGTTAGTCTGTGTAGTAAATCATAAATATTGACAATAAAACTCCCAGAACTAATAAGTTATTATTGTAAGGTTCAAGGTTAATATACAAAAGTCAGTTGCTTTCCTTTAGTATAAATGAAAAAGTGGAATTTGAAATGAAATACATAACTTCATTTATACTAGCCCTCCCCCCCAAATAAATTCTTAGGTGTAAATCCAACCAAATATGTACAAGATCTATGAAGAAAACTACAAAGAGTTGAATCTACAGAGATGGGCCCTCCCTGGTGGTGCAGCAGGTTAAAGTGCAGCACTATGGAACTAGGTGCAGCCACTTCAGCGTGAGTTGGATCTCCAGCCAGGGAGGTGACCCACATGGCATGGCAGAGCTCTCCTGTCTGGCCCCCTACTCCAAGTTCCCCTCAGGAGTATATTTCAGTCAGTCCACCTGTTCTGTTCCTGATTTTGTCTCTGGTGAATCCTCTCACTACCCCCACACCTCTGAACTGTACCCCAGTTCTCTATGCATAAATAAATCTTTAAAAGAAACTACAGAGATATTGTCACCCCTACAAATTAATCAGTTATTCTTTGACAAGAGAATGAAGGAGCTTTATTCAGACCACTACAAGATTTTCAGACCTAGTCTCCTCAAAACTTCCCATTTTGGCATGCAGGGTATTTTTGGGTTTAAAAACAATCCTTTGAGGCTGAGAATATGCTTCTGTGCTTGTCTAAATCCTTCACCCTTCCCTAAGCTAAGATGAAGTAAAATCATAACATACTAAGTTTCTGCTTTTTCCTAATCAAAGACCTACAAGAATGTAGTTTGTGGTCTCATCTAAAACATCTACCCCAGCTTCTCATCTGTATCCTCAGAACAAAAGATGAAGTCACTTCCCCTCCTGGTTAGGTATAAGAATGAAATCAGCCCCACCTCTCTCCTGGGCACCCCAGGCATTCAGTACTGAAGTTATATCCCCTCTCCCTACCCAAAGATGGGATCAGTATAATTATTTTAGTTTCCCCTCTCCCAACAGTTATTAAATTAATTTTCTACTGCATTATGATGATGAGATTGTGATTGTTTGTCCAACTTGAGAAGCAGCCAGAGGCATAGGGGTGGTTTACCTTTTGCCTTGGTAGGAGCAAAAACAATCCATTGGAACAGATAGTTTCTTCAACAAATGGTGCTGTAACACCATAAAAACATAAAAAAAAATTAGATCTATACAGAGATTACATATCCGTCACAAAAACTAACTCAAAATGGGTCATAAGCCTAGATGATTCAACACAAAACTATGAAACTTTGAGAAGATAACACAAGAGAAAACCTAGATGACCTTGGCTGTGGTGGTGTTTGTTTTTGTTTTTGTTTTTTAAGATTTATTTATTTACACAT